ATAAGGGTTGGAGGGCTTACCAATATGGAGCAGTGGCTGCTTCTTCTTCGAGCGCGAGTTCAGGAATGGCAGAGGAGAGGCAAGAGCTCTGGGTTGCTTGGAATGGTAGTGAGTCAGTAAGAGCTCAAGGAAGATGAGGGGGGGAATGTTTATAGAGGAGACGAGACCGCCCAAATTCAAATTCTGGCAAGACGACGGGTTGGCTGCTCGAGAACCAATGGCAGCCTGCCACATGTCCCCATTTATGACGACGTCAGAACTGAAGAGACAGGTTGAAGAGTTGAGTCAACCGAGCTACTTTTGAAGAAGAGGGCGTCAACCGAGGAGTATAACCGGGCAAGTTTGCAGACAGGAATGTCAACTAGCCCGGTCGCCATTTCGCATTCTGAGGACAGAGGAAGTGTTGTCCCGGTCGAGATAAATAATCCCAGTCACGCTTTTGCGGACGGAATTAAGGAGCAATTGAGAGTGAGATTTATGATATGAGATTGGGCCGTGACGTTAGCCGGACAGATTTGGGCCGAGGTATTGGGCTCCAAGATCAGGCCGTGATATTGCTCGGTAATGGCAAATCCCACGTGGAACCGAGTTATTTGATCTCGGTTCCGCGAAAGCCGGACAGGTGGAGGAACAGTCTAGATGAGGCTCCCCGGCTCACGCGTTGTAAGGTTGTAATGCACGCACCTTAACCTGGTAGGAAGGTCTGTGCTTGGAGCTTGGCCAAGAAGGTCTTTGGCTGACCGGAGTTACCAATCTCCGCTCAGCTTCGCCGGAATACAGTTGAGCACGGCTGGAATTAACCCCGGTAGTAGGAAACTACGACATCAACTGCACTTGGGCATGTTCAGTATGGCCGTTGATAGCCGAGATAGTGGGCTGGCAGTTGGGTTAGGTGATGTATAGCAAGATTTGTGCTGACAGATGGGATAACAGAGCCACGTGTCGAGAGACCAATGAGAGTAGATTTGGGGCGCAGAAGGGTATATAAGCATGTCTGCGCCCCCCATACGCGATACAGAAACACTTTGTAAGGAAATTCTTACACTCAAACACTCCTCTCTCTCTCTCTCTCTCTCTCTCTATCCTAAGGTGTGTGCTAACTTGATCGTCGGAGGGTTTTTCCGGCCACACACCGCCGGGTAGCTCACCGTTATTTGCTCGCAGGTGACCGGATAGAAGCGGAGCTTGGAAGAAAGAAGTGCGGGTTTGCCTGAATATTTGCTCCCCGTACATCTATCAAAATTTTAAATCACTTAATGGGACAAATTAATCAATTTTCCAAAATTATTGATTTTTAATTTACAAAATAGATTCAAAAAAACTATTGACTGATTTATTTATTTAATAACAAAAATATTTCATAATCTCTCCCTCCTAATCTCTTTCACAAATTTTCAAAAAAAAAAAAAATTAAAACTTGCATTCATTTTCTCTTCCCAAAAAAATCAGATAATATTTTTTATTAAAGTTGTAGATACCTACCTATATTTTATATATTATATTATAACATAACAAAAAACACTAAAAAACTAAAAAAACAATCTTTAAAGTTTATATAAATAAACTTTAAATCAATAAAACTTACATGTCTATCGCATATCTAACTCACATCATAACTTACCTAAATAATAATAATTAAAAACAAATAAAAATCACAGATAAATTAAATTTTGAAAAAAAATATACCCACAACTCCATCTTAAATAAATTGAAAAAAAAAAATACCCGAATAGAAACAACACAAAAATAAAAATGAAAAGAAAAAGATCTATCTATCTATCTATCTATACTATATATTAAGTAAAAGGGGGTTTTTAACCCCAAGGCCTGTGGGAGCTCCCATCTCCTAATCCTAATTTTCTAATTTTTGATTTAAAAAAAAAAATCTCAACATTTATTGACTTCTCCCAACCCAACCTCAGCATTTATTAACTTCTCCCAACCCATAATCCCTTTTGACTTCTCTCATAATTATTGCAACACCCTTTTCAATTTCTCCTATACACTATGGTTACACACACACAAAAAAAAAGAAAAAAAAAAGATAAGAATTCAGCTATAGATCTCAAAAAGATATAACATCTAATTATAGATACAATTCGTGTATAGTTACTACAATACATTTTTCAACTTCTGCCATACATTATGGTTAGTGATAAGAAAAAAATCTTATAAAACATAATTTATATATTAAAAAAATCGAAAACAAATATAAATATCTATAATTATCCCGTGCATAGCACGGGTGATAGGTTAGTACTATATATTAAGTAAAATGAGATTTTTAACCCCAAGCCTTGTGGGAGTTCCAATCTCCTAATATAAATTTTCTAATTTTTTGATTTTTTTTAAAAAAACCCTTAGTATTTATTAACTTCTCTCAACCCCCAAGTCTTACCATCATAATAACACTTTAATGCATTAAGATCAAGCATAAAAAAAAATTCTTGAAAAGTCCAATACATATGATTATTATCAAAATATTAAACTTTAATATAACATAAAAAAGGAAAAAAAAGAAGACATTTAAAAAAAACATTTAAAAATCACAATTCACATATATAGATAATTATACATTGATGTTCCAAATCCAACAAAAAATCCCGAAAAAGCAGGCTATCTTTTGAAGCAATTATGAGAATATGGAAAATCTTGTCTCAGTTTTAATAATGCACTATACCATTTATACATCTCAAGATACAATTAAAACTTTATTTAGTATATGCATTTACCATGAAGAATATATCTCATTCATATTAGAAAGGGTAATTTGGAAGTGGAATAAAAAATGGAACCATATATACCATGGTCGGAGGAGTAAAAGCATCAACTTACACAATAATCCATATGCCTCCAACTAAAGGAATTGTACCCCAAAGCAACCCACATACAAGGGCCACCACTTGTCGAATCCAATGCAGTACATCCCCTAATTGATCCTGCAAGAAGAGTGTTAAATTATACTATGGATAACACACAAAAGAAAATCTGTCTAGTAATTACAAAGAAAGGAAAATTTGTGTCTTTTGGAATACTATAGCTGCAATATTTTCCAAATTATACTACTCTAACCATCACATACTACAAATTTCTAAGGTTATTTTGAACTATCAAAAATCTGCTCATAAACTCCACCTTCTATGTTAGTCAATAAGAACATATATGACCTCATTGCTCTGGAAAAATATAATTCGATAGAGATTTATATTGATTTCTATATGAACTTATTTCACCATTCAGTAACATTTCCCTTGTTTAATTTAAGAATATGACCTTATAGATCTAGCAAATGGATCTCTTTCAAAAAGTTTTTCACTTAAGGATGAATGGATTCAAAATTAAACACGATGTGGGTCTTTCCTTGATTGAAACTGTTCCCACACCAAAGCTCCCTAACAAACTATCCCTAGTGCTCACTTACAGAGATAAATAAACAAATATCGCACTTCGGATTCTCTACTGACTTTTATGGACTCTACATCAATCCACATTTCTCTATTCAGCCAGATTTTCTTCAAAACACGAAGCAGGAAATTAAAGAAACTTTAATCAAAGTCAATATTGAGAACTTTATGATATTTACCATTATCCGCTAGTACATAAATAGAAGTCTCCCAAATTATATTCTTCCTTCTATCTCTCCTAGGCATACAAAGATGAAGTCTTCGAGGGTACATCTTGTCATAATTCTAATATTTTTTAATAAAACATCATTAGATGTCAAACTTGTCTTTAAATCCTTCTACAATAACCAGTTCTAAAGACCTAGTAAATTATGTCACCCTTCTCTAATATAGAACCCCATAGCATTGCAGCTTGAAGCTTCAAAATGATATGATATGATATGATAATAGGGCATTATGAAGTAAAAGAACGCAAAGAAAAAAGAAGTATTTTAAAAACAGGAAAACAAGGATTGATAGAGAAGAATTAATCGACTAGAGAGAGTCTCTTGAAGCTGTTTGGTTTCTCCACACACGAGGAGCCCTGCTGATGTTTCATTTTTCTTAAACCATACCATAACTCTGTTTTCCACTTAAAATCCTCTATCATACAACTGAAACAGTTCACCTTTTTTTTTTTTTCTCCTTC